GCACACACGCACACACGCACACACGCACACCACACACGCACACACGCACACACGCACACACGCACACACGCACACACGCACACACGCACACACACACACACACGCACACACACACACACGCACACACGCACACACGCACACACACACAGACACACACACACACACACATATATATATATATATATATATATAGGTTATCGGCCCAGGAGAAGGAGGAGGAGCAGGAGGAGAAGAAAAAGGAGGAGGATCGGGGAGGAGAGGGGAGGAGGAGACGAAATGCCAGACCCACCCGATCACCAGGCAGCAGAGGGCCCCGCGCCTCGGCGAAGCCGCGACGGGGCAGCAGCCGCGCCCCTCGGCGTCGGCGAGGGCGGCCGCGGCCAGGGCCTCTGGGAGGTCGCGGCCCGCGGCGTGCCTCCTGAGAGGCGGTCGGGTCGTCGTCGTCTTCGTCGGAGGCGGCGGCGGCGGCGGCGTCGTCGTCATTGTCGTCGTCGTCGTCGTCGTCGTCGTCGTGGCCGCCGCCATCGTCGCCGTCGTCGTGGCACGCAGGGCTCCAGACTCCCCTCGCGTCGAAGGATCGAGCGCGGAACTTACAGCGTCGAACCTTAAGGACCGAGGCTATCATCAGTGGCCTCCCAGATGGTTTCCGAGTAGATGGGGTCGGAGGATCGCGCCGCAAGGTGATGCATCTGCGACGTCGGCGTGGAGGAAATCGAGCTACAAATCGCGCCGCATCGCTGATGCATCGAAGATGCGGCGCGATCCTCGGACCCCATCTGCTCGGACCCCATCCAGGAGGCCTAGATTTCTCTGATTGGGTTCCAGTCGCCACGGGTGGGTTCGTTATCATAGTATGGCCTGGACGCACCCCTGGAGAGGTCTGCGGATGGACTTTTGACTCCAAGCCCAGACTTTCTGAGGGACGGTCGGGTCGCACTACGCGGCTGGCGTGGCTCAGCGGCTCGGTCGGGGAAGGACGAGCCTTCGATTTGCTCTTCGTGTTCGTCACAGCTTTGATCAGGCTGTGTGCCATGTTGTCTTCAGGAAAGTGCAACAGTAACATTGGACAATACCCGAACGAGCGTGCTGATCATCTGGCCGAATGCGGTGAACATGGGATCCCACGTTGTGATGAACTCGTGGAGTCGGGGATCTGGTGTCTGGGATCGTCGCATCCGGCGTTCCGTCGTCATCGCCGTCGTCGGGGTCGTCGTCGTCGTCGTCACCGTCGCCGCCGACTTCGCCATCGTCGTCGCCACTGTCGCTGTCGACGTCGCCGCCGTTTTAGTCGTCGTGGAAGCCACTGTCGCGACTGTAGACGTCAGCCGTTGCCGTTGGAGCGGAAGGAGGGAGGGGGAGCTGAAGGAGGGAGGGGAGAGGATACCACCTCAGGAGAAGTCGAGGACGGACCACAGCAGCATGACGAAAGGACGCAATCGTCCAAAGAGGGCCCCCTTCCGCAACGGGGTAGGGCCTGAGCACCACTGCAGTCTACGTGGTGCAACTGATTTTACCACACGAAAAGACACATCCCGCGCTCTTGCAAACCACCCACCCACCCACCCGCAACTTGGTCTGCAACACCCATGCGGTGGCGATTGCGATGCATGCTTGGCGTTGGCTGGTGCATCTCCGCGGACGCGCTAACCCTAGCACGCGCGCGCGCAGCGGCCAACTAGTTTGGCGCCACCGACGCGGCCGCGGTGGTGCTGACCGCTGGACGCATCCCAGCGGGCACTCCACTGCGAGTCGGCGACTTGGGCGGGCGCGGTATCATGGCAACGCCGACAACGGTAATTAGCCACGAAGATGATATTGGCGATGCTGGTGACGATGCTTGCACCGACGAAGGCGCGGCCAATGCGGGCGCCGAGGCTGGCCACGCCGACGACGATGACGGCGTCGTCGCGTCGGCGTTGAAGATTCGGGAAAGAGTTCGACATGCGCGCGCGGCAGGCGCGTGAGAGTGGCCCGCATGAACTTTTTGACGCGGGTCGTGTCTCCACCAGCACGCGCGCGCGGGCGTGTGTTTGGGACATTCGGTTTGAAATCGCTACGGAAACGAAGGTTTTTGAAGGATTTCGGCATGCGCGCGCGACGGCGCGCGCGAATGCACTTCGTTTCATGTCTGGATCCTCGCGACGGCACGCGCGCAAGGGCGTTGGAATGATTTCGATATGCGCGCGCGAAGCCCGTTTGATACTATGTGATGGTTTGGATGTGTTGAATCATACTTTTGAATTCGCAATTGCTCGCGGATGTTTTTGTTTGAACATCCGTGCTGCGAACAAAAATGTGTCTTCTATATGTGTTTGGACACTCTATTTTGAAATCTTCCCGAAACCTATGGTTTCGAAAGATTTCGGCATGCGCGCGACGACGCGCGCGTGTGCACTTCGTTTCTGCTTTGCAAGGGATTCATGGAAACAGAGAATGTTTGATAAACAAATGTGCGCACATTGTATATGTTGCAGAAAATGGCGAGGGGGGGTCGAAACCGACGGGGCTGGGATGGTACGAGTTCAGATTTAAGATGGGCGATGGGGCAAACCATATGTAAGTTGCAACACAAAAAGAGGTACCCATAAAGAGGGGGGTGAGTCAGCTCTTTATTATAAAGGAGAATATACAATGGGTATATGTATACATACATATATATATATATATATATATATATATATGGGTATATGTGTATATAATTACACATGTCTATGCATCTGCATCTGTAGATGTATACATGAATGTATAAGTATATGTATATGAATGTGTTTATATGTACATACAAACATGCATATACATATACATATATATATATATATATATATATATATATATACACATGCATATCTAATATATATATATATATGTACACACCTACTCCTCTACTTTATTACCCCCCCCCCCCCGCAACCCCGCCCCGTACCCCCCCCTCAGGGGCGCCCTGGACGCTCCTTCGGACGCCATTGGGAACGGCCCGCCGGCCCTTCTGGGCCTCCCAGGGCGCCTTGCCGGGCCATGTGAGCAGACGCAAGGCGATCAAAGGGGCAAGACAGCACAAGAGCGCTCCAAGAAGAACCTCGATGGCCTGAGGACGACACAAGAGGCCTCCAAGACGCCCTAAGAGGCCGTTAAGAGAGCCACAAAGAAACAACGACCGTCCCATTCCTTTTAAGCAGATGTGTATTTTTAGCATCTCCGCTCACTGGGTCTTCGCAGGGTCCAGGACGGCCCGAAGGGCGCCCGATGTCGCCACAAAACGGCCCAAGAGGGCCCCGAGGGGGGTTTGAAGACCGCCCAAAGAGGGCCCAAATACTGCCCCAGAGAATCCCGAGACTGCCCACAAGAAGCCCGAAATGCCCCCAGAAGGCCCCCAAGATATACCTACGAAAGCCATGGGGCACCCCTCAAAAAGCCACTGGAGACCCCCAAGAGGGCCCTAGATGGCTTCCCCAGAAAGTCCCGAACGGCTCGACAGGGCCCCAAAACGACCCAAAAGACCCCCAAAAACGCCCAGACGGCGCTCTCCTACGAAGTCCGTAGAACTGACCCGCTTGAGGTTTAAGTTCCTCGATCGAGAGAGACAGGCAATGGATCTAGGTTCGAAGTTCGACGACCGAAGATTTCCTGAATGCCTGAGCCCTCCAGACATCCAAGGAACGACCCAAAACCGAATTGTTCGGAGCTGCTGCGACTTCTTCGGCGAGTGACGGGAACTCTCCTGACTTCCTCAAGCGACCTTCGCGCGTGAAAGAAATCATCATTCCTTTCCCATTCCTGCGCACAAGCGTGCAAGCACATCGGGCGAACGAGGTGTCAGCAGGCACCAGGGATATCAGAAAAGTGGGCCGGTCCCGTCCAGGCCTCAAGGTCCCCCCTGCTGAAGCAAGCGAGAAATTATTGCTTTGCAAGGGAAGCGTCTGGAACAAGACTGCATTGGCGCGAAGCGCCAATGCAGTTATGTGTATACGTATACATGTGTATATAGATATGAATGTAAATGTGTATAAGTACATACAACTCGGTGTAAACATGCATATGCAAATGTATACATATATATGTAGATATAGGTGTATATAGATGTGTGTATATATAAATATTCTGGGCCACCCTATGTGGTGCCATTCGCCCTGCCGAACCTGAAGTTGTCTACTCGACTGTTCGCGCAATAGTCCCACCCACCCACCCACCCAAAACTTGATTGGCAAAGTCTATGCGGCGGCGTTTGCGATGACTGCACGGCGCTGACTGGGGCATCGCTCGGCTAGCTAGTCTGGCGCGACCGACGCGGCCGCGCACGTCCGAACACTCCAATCAGATTTTCCGCGGAAGGCCGTGGAGGTCTCCGGAACCTCCGGAGGTTTCCGAGGGAGCCTCGGGCAGTCTCCCAGGCCTCCGACAATTCTCAAGTAACCTCGGGCATCTTCAGAGATCAGCGAATGACCGAATGGAACAACTTCAATCGTCCCTCGGTGACCTACGCGACGATGAGCACGAAAGCGACAACGGCGACAGAAAGAGCAACGCGAAATTTGCATAGCCACGCCGGACAACCGCGCCAGACCACCCGAGGAACATGCAACAACGACGCCCCGGCGGCGCCTGCGCTCCCTCCTGCGCTGCGGCACCCCAAAGCGCAAAACAAATCGCGCCGCCCAGGGGCGACCCTCGAGATCCAACCCGCCAACCCCCTTCGAGATAAAGCGAGCGGATAAAGAGAGGTCGAGAAAGGAAAATGATAGGTGCAGAAAGAGAGAAAGAGAGAGAGAGAGAGAGAAAGAAAGAAAGCAAGAGAGAATATAGAGAGTGCACCGTGCGGTGACGCTCTGACATGAGATCTAAGGATTTTGACGAAATCGTGACCATAATATGGTTTCCATAGGATTGCCACAAATGCGCGAGGGCAATCATTCTGCAACATGTTTGACGGAAAACCATGGGTCTTGCAAACGCAATTATTTTTATTGTATGGTTTCGACATGGCGGCGCGCGCGTGTGCATGTTGTTTGTTGCCAAGGGTTATTTGGTTGATGCTGTTTGAAGATGGAGATGGGGGCATGGCGCTGTGTGGCGCAAGTTCCTTGCAAGGGGTCCCCGAACACCCTTCATACGCTTATAATGAGTAATCGAATGCAGGGCAACACGTTTTTTGAGTGTTGTCTGTGGATGTCGTACCGCTTGGAGCATTGGAAGTATACATCCAACTGATGGTTCGGAACCTTGGGAACCCTTGGGCAGCAAGACGCTCGAAAACAGGATGAAGAGGAGATGGAGGAGGAAGGCCCTACTTAATCTTTTAGATGTGTGGGCCGGGGGTTGGCTTTCCGGCCCGGCGGCCCTCGAGATGCCGCAGGCGGCGAGAAACCTTCGCCATGATGTATGCCACTCCTCTCGCTTTGCCCGAGGCCCACTTGGGACACG